ATGCATCCATGTATTGGGACAGTATCGTAGAAACACTATGTTTTGACAGGAATTTTGTCAAATTTGACTATAATTGTATCAATAAATATTGTATATAACAGTTTCAGATCTAGAGTTTTATTCTAAGTGGTTTATTGATTAATGACTCAAATATTATCTTTGATATGTGATGTCATAATTTTTGTCTTTTATTGAGAATAAATATTTAATTTTCAAATATTGTGATCTCACAAGGGATTATTGAACTTTATAGATTGGAACAAAAATTCGAAAATATTTGATGGAGAAGCGATCTTGTTGCGTTCACAGCAGCACACCAAACTGTAGAAATAAAAAGCGATATTTGTCTGAAGTGTTTAGGCTTTTATAAAAGAATAATTATATATTAATTTTTAGTTAGAATCATAATTACGATTGTAAATGCAAGAAAAGTTATCCAGTCCATGTATATCATTAGACTGTAACTTTACAGTAAAGTATCTATCATAAATTATAAAAAATGTTTTTAAGTGAAAAACTTATTTATTTACATGTGATTGCACTATCTGAAATGATGAACATACATAGGTAATATCGGAAAAATATAAGTGATTGAACTCGTCTTATTAATTGCCATGTACTAAAAGATGTTTTTCATTATTTTTTATTATATATTTTTTATTCAATAATTATATTAATATAGAAATAAATAAAATAGTATTATTTTTTAAATATTTCTCCATAGTGCTAAAATTGCTACAGCGACTTCAGCATGTGCAAAACTATTCGAAAATGTCTAATAAACATATGTCCGATTGCAAACAATTTTGAAATTACGGGACAATATTGAAATAAGAAAAACATGAATCAGAGAAAATAATCAAAGTTGATTGGTCGTCCTTGTCTAATCCACGTAACAGTATGGAAGAGAACCACAAAAATATGGACATTACCTTACGAGGTTTTGCATAAAAAAGACCAGGATATTCATATTCAGGTTTCTCTCTGATTGTAATAAATGTTGTTTAATGTTTGTTATTTTATTTAATGCTTTATAAAAGATCTTCAAAAATTCTTTCATCGATTTCGACACACTTTTTAGTACGAATTAATAAATTCTTTCGGACATTTTGAAAAATATTTGGATTTTCAAACGATGATATCGGCAACATTAAGTATTTCTTGGCACAATTGTTCTGAATTCTCAATTTCGTTTTGGAGACGAATAAAATATCTACTAATCTATCAGAATAAGAGTCAGAAATCAGAACAATAGAATAAAAGATTCTGACAATATTTACTTCGATTTATGTTTTCTTATTCAATATCCCCATAACTCTAAAACTTTTTGGAATTGGACATGTCTATTAGACATTCCAATATCACATTTTCGACTTGTTTTCATGTGTTGAAGTCGTTGTAGCAGTTTTGGTACTTTGTAGAGGGACACACTCTGTATATGTTACATATATATTATATCTCGTAAACGTATAACATGCATAACGTGATAACATTTTGATAATTGATGATATTATAATACTGAATGAAATTAATAAATTCATTTTCTTACCATTGTTGTTTATTTGTTTACGAAAATTCATAAAAGTTATGGCAAGAGAAAACTACACAAAAGAGTATATTCATAAAATAATCATTTTTTTTAATTCGATAATAATTGGTTTTTTAAATTATAATGAATATGATTGAAATACAATAGCAATTAATGGGATGAGTATATACAAAAAATATTAATTTCTTTTATTCTTTGAAATAAACGAGAACGAGAAGTCTGAGACTATCAAGAGATGTAGGGTATACCTGTATATGTAAACATGTATAAATATCTTCGCAACATGTATTACTATTAAACATATTTACACACTAAATAAACTTCTATAGTTAATGATCTTAATGTTAATAGTAAGTAACATAATATTAATCACTATTATTATTTGCATTTACCTCTGGTGCCTTAGCACTTTATAATCTAATCAAATTTACAATTTCTTGCGTAATTGAAAACTTTATTATTTAATTTTTAACTTAATAGACTGTAGAGCTGTATATGATGATATGGTAACAAGCTATATAACTTCAAACAATCTCTAAGAATACCCTACAAATCTCATTCGCATATACATAGATTCAAGTTTTAATTTCCTTTTATTATTCTTATATTATTCTTATATAGTAATCTAATACATAATTTTAATTAGATATATGAGCACTTCTGCGTAATATCAAATATCGAATTATCGTTTGTCATGAATTTTTGTATTTATTATTGTATAATATTATGAAAAGGAGCAATAATAATAATAATTCCAAAATTTTAAATTTTCATAGATTAATATACATATAAATAGTATAATAAGAATGAAAGTGACACACGATCAAATATCGATTTATCCTTTTTCACGAATAAAAACAAATTTCAAATTTTTACTTTTAATCGTGTAATTAAAAATACATTTTTAAATTAAATTATAATTATATAATGTATATTACACAAATTATTTAATCCATCGTGGTCACACTTTTTGAAAGTTCTGTAATGATCACACCGGGAGTCTAGCGCATTTAATCGCGGTTGTTATAACTTAGTTTTCGTTCTTTGAAGTAAAAAAAAATTATTAAACACATTTTAAACATTTTGTAGAACATAGAAGATAATCTTTTAAATTAGCTCCTTGTCCCTTCGATGCATCATCATTATTATCTGACTATTAAAGATTTTAGACATACAAATTAAGGTCCGTATTCAGAACGCGCTTTTATCGATAAAAGCGCACTTTTATCTTCGAATTTCTATAATATACGTAACGTAAAATATAGTATGTAAGCGTGTTCTGATGAATACGACCTTAGTCTTAATTACTTACATATCTGAACTGCGTTCAGATTCGCACCCGAGTGCTCCTCATATGTCATGTCATCCTTGTTTAATGTTCGGTAAAAAACAAGGATGATATGACATTCGGGGAGCACTCAGGTGGGAATCCGAATGCAGCCCTGTTAAGTTTCATCTCTACAATACTATGGCTGGATTGTTCCATCTTTCGGTAAACTTTAGTTCACTATCTTACTTTCTTACTATCTTACTCTTTTATTCTTTTGTTTATGAACTTTAAATAAACTGTGAGTTGAAGACCAAAAGATGGAGCAATCCAGTCTATTGCTCGTTTCCACCAATATAGATTAACTTTAATCTCGGTTTAATCTCTCCAACTTACTCTTCTTCTAGTTCTAAAGACTAGAAAAAGACGAAAAGTAAGACGAAAAGTAAGTTGAGATTAAAGTTTAATCTACATTGATGGAAATATGGGCATAAATCTGTTAAGTTCTATCTCTACAACATTATATGACATTTTTCATCGACAATATAGCGCCGCTGTTTGTTTCTGTTATATCACTCATTTCAACTGTCAATTTTAAGGTAAGCTTTCTCCAGATCTATTTTTAAGATTTCTGATTACTTAAGCCTAGACATAATTAATGCGAAGCAACAACAGCGACAGGAACAGTGATAGGATTAGATAGTACAGAAATAAGTGGTATATAATTGTCGCTTCCTGTTGCATAATGTTGCGAAAGAAATAAAAAGGCCAACTAATCTGATCGCGTGTATATAGACTGTGCTAGCTTCTATCTGCTTCAAGATTATAGTGTAAATGTAATAAAAAAAATGAAAACTCTGAACGCTGATTGGTAGATTATATAAGGCGATAGACAGAATTCTAACTCGTCGGATCGCTATTGCCTTATAT